GGCAGATATGTCATATTTAATGCAGCCGAACCGTGTATTACAATGCCGTTATGTGATGACCTCCAAAGAGAAAAGCAAGCAAACTCGGAATAAAGTATTATTATTCCGGTTAACTAAAATGTCCGTGCGGAACAATACCCCCAACCCATAGATCCGTGGGTGAATAATGTCAATCACCACATTACACACATTCCTTCGCATTTACATTTTAATTTACATTAAAGTATTTTGTGAGGCCTTCTAAAATGTTTTTAAATATAATTAGGGTTGTAGTTGCCTGGCAACGCAATCGCACAACGTCACGTCCGTTAATTCCACATCCTCACCTCCACACATACTTGCCAACCCTCCCGATTTTCGCGGGAGACTCCCGATTTCATTGCCCTCTCCCGGTTTCCTCCCGGGGTCATATTTCTCCCGCATTTCTCCCGATTTCTGACAAAATCAGATTTACTCAGGACTGTTTCCACTCGGACTTTAATACAGCTACACCATTGTTTGGTTTCCATGGTAGCGTAGCGCACGCAACTGAAAGTCTGAGAGGGTGAGGAAGATAGTCACAGCAAACAGAACAAGAATCGACAATTCTACCCTCTGCTCACTCCTTTTCCAGGTCCAGCCCACACATATGGTGCTACAGGCCCCCCCCCCCCCCCGCGGTGGTTTTGGAAATGCTCCCGATTTCTGCCTTCACACACATGGATTAACATCGATTTAATACATTAATGTAGCCTTTGTTTCTGCTAAAAGAGGTGTCGACCAGCTAGGGCAACAAGTAAATCGGCGAAATCGAGTGTGACGATTCAAAAATGAATTAAAAACATCTAATTTTGACAATAAAAACTGACCAATAGGCGCGGTAGACCATTTGCTTGGCACTTCCAGGTATTTCTCCACTGGTTGGGCCATGTTAACAATACCGTGTAACTGTCGTTTGAAACGTTTGAAAGGACGAAACCGTGACATATTCACGTCTCCCAGCATGGTAGATCGTCACATGTTCACATCTTGCCGTGATACCGGGTTGAGTCTAGTCTGGATGAGATGAAGGCATTGATGAGGGTTTCGGCAGCAGAAAAGGAGAGTATGGGCAGAGAAGGGTTATATTTTTGAGGTTGAAGAAGGCAGTTTTTGGACCGATGATGACCATGTCAGAATTATCACAGTTCAGTTTGAGGAAGTTGTTTTGCATCCAGGATTTAATTTCAGTGAAGCAGTTGGTGAGAGTAAAGAGGGTGATGATGGATTTCGTTAAAATGTAGAGTTGCACATCGTCGGCATGGCAGTGGAAGTGGAGGCCATGGCGTTGTATGATGTCACCGAGGGGGAGGAGGTAGAGGATGAAGAGGATGAAGAGGATGAAGAGGAGAGCACCAAGCACCAAACCCTGGGGGACGCCTTGGGGCAGGGGAGCAGGGGGGAGGTGCAGTTGTTGATATTGATGAATTGCTGTTGGTGTGTGAGGTATGACTGTAGCCAGGACAGTGCAGTGCAGGGGCGGATCCACGGGGGGGCAAGGGGGGGCAGTGCCCCCCCACTGTAGAGCCTTGCCCCCCCAGCTGCCCCCCTAACTTTTGTGTCCCTAAAACTGTACTTGTAGAAACAAACCTACACTATGTCCACAAGCTTCTCAATCAACTAAACAAGCAGTACATTCATTAACCTGTTCCACTCTGAGCCTGTTTTTCAGGTCTCAGGCTCGAAAATGACATTCCCAGAACAAATGACCATATCTTCCCTTCTAAAAGGGTTAAATTAATAATCTTTTTTCTCAAAGTAATGATAAACCTGTGAGTTGGATGTAGAAGTGTCAGAATCAATATAAATGTTTTTTATTTTAAAGAAAATTCAGATTTTACATAGTAAAAAACTGTAAATTATAGTGTCCGTCCAAAAATTATTTTTTACAGATAGTGAAAACTACCCTTGGATGATGGGTTAGTAGACTAAAAGCTTTAGGAATCCAAAGTACAACATATAATAAGTACCCTGTATCAAGATTGATGCAAAACAAGTGAAATTTGACCTTTTTAGAGAGATTTAGCCAAAAACTGGGCCATCTGGGGTCATTTGGGTGGATTTGACCTATCTCTGGCCCCCCTTGCTCGATTTGGTTGGTTGACATACCCTTGTGACCGTTAGAGCCAATAGAATCGAAGGAGGAGACTCACATACACACACATTGTAAAGAAAAAATGTGGCCGCTTCACGTGTGGAAAACGAAACCAAACTGGAGGAATGTCTCCTTCTGGAGTTTGGAAACTAAAACGCAGTTGTATTGCTTATGGATTATCAGAAATAATTTCAAAGAAGGCACAGACACATAGGATGAACCTATGGATTAACTGCAGCATCGTTTTTTTATCGTTTTAATGCCATTGAAGACCACTTTTGACCAAGGTAAGCCATATTTACATGTTTAGCTTCTTAGCTCCACATGTGATGATGTCCGCTTTCGTTGATAGCGTCGCGAATGTTTATCACTGAGTGTTGAGGTGGGCACCGGTAGATTCAGTGTCTCCAGGACACCAAAAACGAGTGGTTGGCTGTGCATCTAGGATAAGTAATAAGGGAGTTATGAGTGAGTTTAAGTGCCTTTGTAGGTCCCGTTTTTTCGATCGAGGCTAATTCAGAGGCTGAGTGCTAGCATTGTGGTTTTTTTTTGAAAAAAAAAATTAAAAAGATCAGTTAGCTGAGTTTCTTCCCGTTACATGGATATAACACATTCATAGTTTTATTCAATATTAAGATTCCTTAGACGTTGTTTCCTGCAAATGACGCGTTTATCCGCCCGGTACCGGGGGGAAGGTGTGAAACAGGTTAAAAGTGAATCATTTTAAATATCATCTTAGGCCCGTTAAAATCGTAGCTACGGCCCTGCATTAAACTGCGGAGCGGCGTTCACACAGACCGCGGCTCACACCGCTGCAGAGAGGGAGCGAGCTGTCCCAGCACCTGAGTGATCAGCTTCCCCTGGGAGCATTTCCCCTTCGACTAGTTTTGTTTTTAATAAGGACGAGAGTTTGAAACAAAATATTAATAAACCGCTGCCGTTTGAATCGATAGCGTTTAACAGACGGTCGCTGTTTGGGATGTTACGTTACAAAATACTGCGCAGACAGCGCTAGCTGGGAGATCGATCACTTTATTTGCTAAACTATGCGGTACTATTAAATCCACGTATATTACACATCACAGCAATGAGGCCAGATCAATGAAACCAGGATACATCCTTTACCGTCAAACTGGCTCTAAACGCAGCTGCCTGTGTGCGTTAGTGATGGGAATTATGGCTCTTTGAAGGGAGCCGGATCTTATGGCTCCGTTCCTTTCAAAGAGCCGTTCAAAAGAGCCGTTCAAAAGAGCCATTTTTTTTAAAGGGGGCGGGGTCACTAGGTTTATAATAATCACCAGGATAATGATTGACTGTATTGCCAGACCTAATGTCAATAATCTGCATTGTAAACATGACACAGGGTGGCGCCATATCCATGTCATTCATGTCAGTGAATGTACTACTTTGAATTTACCCTATGTATGTGTTTAGTAAATACATTTGCCTTGCCTAGAATGAAATTCACGCAACTCTTAATATTAGAACACTGCCTGGGTTTTGGTTGAAGTGCATCCAAATGCTGCTGCGTTTTCGCGTTTGGCTCATTTTCCATTCGAAAAACACGTCGTCTACCTGTCCTGTAGCCTACCACTTGTTATGACTTCTCTCTCTCAAGACCCACCCCATCTCACTCCTCGTGCTGAAACCTACCAATCAGAGTAGGGGCGGGTCTTCACAGAATACGTTTGGGGAACGAAATCAAGCTTTTTAAAAGGCGAGTGGATTTTGACAGGCAGTGAGTGTGGACCAACGATTGAACGATAAAAAGAACGGCTCTCACCAAGTAGGACTCGGTTCCCTTCGTTCGTACCAAAGAGCCGTTCAAAAGAATCGGCTCGTTCGCGACCGACACATCACTCTTGTGCGTTTGATAACTACTTTCTGATTTTATATTTATTATTGGCTATGCTACTTATTAGCTACATGGCCCTAACGTGTAAAGTTGTAAGCATTTGTACCAGTGCTTTTCACAAGTAGACTGGAGTGATTCAACAAAAATAAAAAGACATATCTGAGAAGTGATCAGGATAAGTAGAAAGAGGAAAAGGAAAAGACAGTACACTGAAGAGACCAGGAGGGTCAGAGCAGGAGAAAGCCAGGAGAGATGAAGACATTAGTGAAGAAGAAGAAGAAATGTATGTGAGGAATAAAGAAGAAGTGTCAGAAAGAGGGACAGAGGCAGGGATCAGGAGGCAGATGAGACTCCAGCTGGACCACATGGTATGTTTTTATTCTTCTTGCATACATATTCCATTACAGCAGCACAATCTAGCGGCTCTTAGTATTGACAAATATTTATTGAAATGTGTTGCTGCACAGGTCACCTTTAGCTCTCTAAGAGATGGGTGATGTCATTTGTGTACTTAATTATAACTAAGTACTTTTGATGTACTTACAGTAAACAGAGTTCTAGGGTATCATGAGTACTTTCTGCTGTTTTATACTATATTTTAGTTTGTTTGTCTGAACACCTTGTTTCTCTTGTGCATTAAGAACACTTGTGTTAGGGCATGATTTAACAATAAATAGGTTATATATACAGTATAAAATACCACGTACGGTCCGCCCTCCCATGCCACCCTGGCATGACCTCTTGCCCCCCCTTTGCCATTGATTGATCGTTTGTGAAAAAGAATCTGCTTATCATCCAAATGGCTTGTTTTTGGGTCAGCCATTCAGTTTATCATTCTGTACTGTTATTCATATAATAGCATATGAAATATACATGAAATCTCTCACTTATTCAGGGTTATCAGTTGACTGAATAATGGAAAAGGCTTCCCTTAAAGACACAGGTGATTCAGTCAGTTAATCCTGCTGTGGTTAGGGGGCAGAGATGCAGGGTGAACACATTGAGTTAACAGAGAACTCAGCACTTTGTTACCTGGTAGGGTCCATGGAGCGTAGCCACCAGCAGGGACACCTCCTCCACCACAGCCAGGTCGTGCTGCAGCTGCTCCAGCTCCTGGTACAGTCGGGGGGGGCCCAGGAACACTTTCCCTGGAACACAGGGAGCCATACTGAGCTTCATCTAAACACATACTGCACTGAAAAACTGAAACGTTGACTTTTATTAAATGTATAATGTCATCAGATTTCACATAACTGTATTAGGTTAGTTGAAAGAAATACAATTCAGTTTAAATAAAACAATATTAGGTTCAACCCAATATTATTGCTTTCAACTAACCTATACAGTTACGTAAAATCTTTTGAAATAATACATTTAATTAAAATCAACGTTTCAGTTCTTTCAGGGTACCCAATTAGCCACCAGAGATCTGATGTGTACCCATGTAGCTGGAGCCGGAGCTGGGGCATCTGGCTGTGAGGACACTGTCCTGTCCCACCTCCACCACCTGGGTGTGCAGCAGGGGACAGCACCACTTCACCGTGTATTTAGGACCAACAGGAACCAGGCTGCTGATGTCCGAGGGCCCCCTGGTGGACAGACATATTTTAACGTTCAGTAAAGTGCAGTCACTCTGTTTGTCGCTCTGAGGTCTCATCCGTCTGAATCACAGCGGCCGTCCCCACCCCCCACCAATGGTGTTAAGGAGCTAAGTGTGTTTACTCAAGTACTGTACTTAAGTGAAGTACAAGTCTCTCAAAATTATATTTGAATATATTCCATGTTTTGCTACTTTGTACTTAAAAGGTTAATGGTGTACTTTTCCTCCACTACATGTATTTAATACCTTTAGTTACTTCACAGATGTGGATTAATGATGTGAAATATAATCAAGTGTTAAATCAGACTTTAGTTCCACCTGGAGTAAATCCACAAGCTACTCTGCAGTATACAAAGTCATTCAAACTAGCTGCACCTTTACCAGCTTTGAGAACACTTTCATGATCAATCATTATAAAACATATCATATATATTATTCTGAAATGGACCAATCTGCACAATGACTACTTTTACTGTCGCTACTTTAACTATATTTTGATGATAATACTTTTCTACTTTTACTTGAGTAACATTTTGAATGCAGGACTTTTACTTGTAACAGAGTATTCCTACACTCTGGTACTTCTACTTTTACTGAAGTACAAGATCTGAGTACTTCTCCCACCTCTGCCCCCCACCCCCGTGACATCACCTGGAATTTAGTCAGCATCACACAGCTGAAACTCTGGTGGTGTTAGTCAACAGTCACTTCTAATGCTGGAGCATGAAGATGCATTCTTCAGTTAGAGTGAACATCACAACTTTATTCGCCAAAGAAGGCTGTGGTATCACATAAAAATAAAAATATAATGCCAACTGCAAGGTTTTATTTCCACATTCATATTGTAATTATCAAAAGAAAAACAATGCAATATGTACAAAATTATAACAAGTGTCCTGGAGATGTCCTTACTTCAGGTTGAGGTTGGCACAGATCAGGGTGTCGTTGAGCAGGAACAGCTTCCTCTCTTTGGACTTGAGGACTTGCCCTTTGTCTCCGTACACCCTCTCAGTGAGCAGTTCGCAGTGCAGCAGCTGCCTCCCCCCTGCCCGCAGCAGCTGCAGGCAGAAAGCACATCCACAAACACACATGAGTATATTAACATTTACAGCCTGCTTTTTTCTGAAATTCATTTGTTGTGTTGTTTCTTTTGGATTGTTCTAATCCGAAGCTCATGCAATACAAATGACTTGTTGATATAAAGACAAAGGCTGCAAAATGAATAGAGATGACTTTGGTTTGGATGTCAAAAGCTTGACTTTCCGTGGCTTTAGGTCCATCTTAAGGTACTGTATTTTAGTGACTGCGGGCCAGATGGGATGGAATTCAGTTTTGATTGTACGTTCTCTCACTTATTTTCACGCTTTGTCTGTGTTTCCTGTTTTATTTTGAACAGTGTTCACACCCTGTCTCACGGCTGTTTTTACTTCCTGTCTCTGTGTTCCCTCCTGTTTGATAACCTTTGTGTTTTTCCTTCCCTCCCCAGCTGTGTCTTGTCCTCGTGATTAGTCTTGCATGTATTTAAGTTCTGTTTTTCTGTCGGTGTTTGTTGGATCTTTGATTTGTACACATGGGAGAGTTCCGGGCTGTTTGCTGTAAATCTTTTGAACGTTGCATATTTTTCTGTTTTGGTCCATCCTGCCCATGGGTCCAAACCATCATCAACTGAATAGATAAAAGTGAATGTAACATCACATACGAAACATAAACCAGCTGAACAGCTCATTTTGTCCTCATGATGTCACCTTGCTGAGGGTGCGGTCGCCCCCGCTGTGAGCGAGCAGCTGGAGCTCCGCCTCCTGCTCAGACAGGCGCTTCTGCTCGTTCAGCTTCTCGGCCAGAGTCTCCAGCTCGGTGAGAGCCAGCTGCAGCGGTAGCCGGTCCACGTGCCACTGGGGGGTGTTCTTCAACATGTCCTGATCACACAACAACACACGACAGTCACCCTGAAGCTCACAGGGAACACAGTAACGCACACATGTGATGTAATAATCTTCAACAAAATGTTCTTAAAGGCAGGGTATGTAAGTTTGAGAAACCGGCTCGAGATACACTTTTTGTTATATTCCATGGAATACTCTTAACATCCCGATAGCAATGAATATCTTAAGTGCTTTGACAAAAAATCCATAAAAAAATGTCATCTGTAGAAGCCATAGTACTGTAAAAAGTACGACCAATCATTTTAGCCGGCCCAGCTAAAATAACTGGATGGCCTACCTGCCTGTCAGCCTTCCATCTGTGCACAAACTTATCTCGTGCCCTCATTGGTCATGTGCGCGTTCGTGTGTGTTGGAGGAGGGGCTCTATAAGGAAGTGGCAGATTTTCTCCGGTCGTGTATTTTCAAATTCTAGCGCACTCGAGCCGGTTTCTCAAACTTACATACCCTACCTTTAAGTGAATTCAATCTGAATATATTTTTGGGCCAAATTATGATGATAATGTTTGGCATTCATGGTGTTTATGGGCTTGATGTTCATCAATAAAGATCTTAACTTCATCTTCCTAACAGTTTCAGTTTCAAGATGTCAGGATAAGGGACTAACACGTGCAGTAATACTTGTTAAGAGAAGGTGTTGGGGGGATTGATTAAGATGCGCTTCAGCAGACTCAGGAGTGACTGGCTTTCACTTCCTTTTTGTCCGAAACCCCAACACAAAGTCTCAGTGCCTCTGAGCTTGTAGAGATACCAAACACCACGTGCACCACGTGCTGCCACTTGAGAGATTTACACTTCCTGTTTCCTGCCAACATTGGTGATTTACTGGTGAGCAACATAACTCCACTATCTGTATATTAAGGTGTGGATGGTTATAAGACATAAGACAATGACACATCCATGAAAATGCTTCATTTTCATACATATCTAAAAAATCTACCATCCCAACAAACCCATCAACTGTGTTGGAACAGGAATAAATATGACAGTGACTAGAGGGCATGTTTCGGTCTCTCTTCTTCTGTCAGAACTACTGTTCACCGTGCATATCATCAGTGGGGCCACACTGCGGGCTCTGTGAGTTTGATGTGTGTGGTGTGTGTGATGTGTGTGACTGACCTGCAGCAGCAGGATGAACTGAGGGAAGCGCTGGATGGGTCGGACCATCAGGCCGTACAGAGTGATCCTGTCTGGACTGGAGGCCTGCTTCTTCTGAAGGTCACAGGGAGAGGACACTGTGTCAGTCTCTGTCTAGAAAAGTTTCTTTAGCATAGTTATTCTGCAGGTAAACAGTATTTATCAGCTGTGTGTATAATCTGTATGGTGTTTGAAAGGTTTGAACCGCTCTGTGCTGCTGCTGTTAAGTCTTGACATTAAAAGATGGTTCGGTCCCATCCGGCAGAGAACCAAGTTAACGGTCAGCCTTAAGCCATTGACACACATCCATACAGATACAAGGTGTAGTTGCGACACACAGCCGGAGCAATTACAGATCTCCATGGACCAGTGATGGATAGTAACAAAGTACATGTACTCAAGTAATGTACTTAAGTACAATTTGGAGTTACTTGTACTTCACCTGAGTATTCTCAGTTTATGCTACCTTATACTCAGTGGCGAGCCGTCAGGGCCCTCTAGGCCCTCCTAAGATATTACAAATAATAATATTTGAAAACATAAAAAATATATATTATTTTTGAAAATATTAATTTGTTATATATTTTTTATTTGTTTTACCAAAATAACTTGATTTAATTGTATTTAAAATAACATTTCCAAAGAAATAAATCTTTCGAATCTGCCTGTTCAGTTTCTGTTGGAATGTGAAGGGTTAAATTAAAGAAGCTCCTTTGGCCATCTCTGCGAGTTACTGTGAAGACAGGAGGTGATCGGTGGTCCAGCTATAAATTCACAGAGGGCCCGCTATAGTAACTCAACGAGAGAGTAATGTCAAATGACAGTACAATTGACCAATCATATCTTCCCTCTAAATGGGTGGGCTTTATTTTCGCGGACTTTATGACAAGTTCCGCCCGCTGTGAAGTTTATGCATGTGTGTTATAACAACGGGTCAAGCTAGGCGGAAGTAGCCAATTAGCATAAATGTGTTCATGATGGCTCATGTCAGTGATAGTGATGACATCGTTGCGAAATTATTAACGGAGTCATTTTCAAGATTGAGTTACAAGGATAAATTGTAGTGGCAAAGGATCAGCTGCATGACCCGCCATCAAGTGCTTCATCCAAAAGGACAGGAGGATGAACTTTGTGTTTAAGTGATTTGATCATCAAAGGTAGGCCTAAGTCATTTTCAATGTGGGCCACCGTGCCGACTTAATTCATTTGTAATTGTTACTTGGCTGTGGGTGCCCTGTTATGATAGGTGTTTATATAAATCGTGTTGTTTTGTGTGGTAGAGGGTCGCTGTCATTGATGCGTTTTGCACTCCGGGCCGCTGTTTTGATATTCCACTGAAGTATACGCTGAGACATAATAACTTTTTCTAGGTTCAGACGGCCTAGGTATAAAAGTCACGGCTCGCCACTGCTTATTACGCCACTACATTTCAGAAGCAAATATAGTACTGTTTACCCCACTACATTTATTTGACAACTTTTGTTGTTAATAATTACTTTTATGGTTAGATTATAGGCTACTACAAAATCTAAATTAATTATTAAATAAACGTTGACATATATTTATAGAGTTATTAAAATTAGCTCTTAATTTCCCAGCTGTGATAAAAACACTATATCAATATTCATAACAGTAACCCAGTAACTCAATATATATACAATTCTGAAACGGGACAAAAGGAGTACTTTTACTTTTGGTACTTTAAGTATATTTTGATGTACAAAGTACGAGTTTGAATGCAGGACCTTTAGTAAGTAACTTAAATAACAAATCAGAGGACTTATAGAACATCATAGTGCTTGGGATCGAACCACTCACCGTTCACTATGAACACTACCCCCTGAGCCCCAGCCTCCCCAGCCAATCAATGAGTCACAAGAGACATGATTAAAAGTAAGCACCTTCAGGAAGTCCAGGAAAGAAGGTTTAGACATGCAGGCCTTCTTGATGAGAGCCATGGCGTTGGTTAAGTTGTTGATGTACTCACTGTACACGTTCAGCACCATGGACTTGGAAAACTGTGGAGGAAAGAGTGTGACCTCAGGACTTGATCACTACGATCCACTGCCAGTTTAGATTTCAACTTTAAAGTAACAAGGAAGAACTGTTAAATCCAAACATTACTAACAGGCCTCGGACAGAAATATGAGACATCTAGAATATCTTGATCTGATGGAATGGAGCAGCCACAAAGAACCTGGAAGCTGACACTGAGTCAGCAGGAGACAGAGTAACAACACTTGTTTTGTCCATTTAACTACTTAAGGATAGATACAAGACAGGATCACATAATCACATGATCTCATTACTGCATGCAAATCCCAGCATTACTGAATCAAATTATTACAGGATCTGATTTAAATAAAGGGAACGCGGCAACAATAAATTGCAATTCCAGTTTTTTTTTCACTGAACACAGATTGAAAACAAATGGCTGAATGTTAATGCCTTAACTTCGCCTTCAGAGAGAGAACTGTGTGTAGTCCCAGCTGGATGACGCTTCCTTCTTAAAGTGTTTAAATAAGGCGGAAAGTTCTGAGAGACTTCCCTCTGGCCAAAAAGGCACATTTGGAACTTTTTGTGACCATAGTTTCGTATCAGAATCTCTCAGAAGAAAAAAGACATAATAATGAAACTGCAAAAGAACTTGAATGACTTTTCTTTGATGTACACCTCTTCTCTCTTTTAGTTCTGATGCTTATGAGCTGCTTGGTTTGACAGTCCCTGTAAATATGCAAAACATTACAATCAAGTGCACATTTCTTCTATACTAGACACCAGAGGTGGGACCAAGTCATTGTTTTGCAAGTCCGAGTCAAGTCTCAAGTCTTTGTGCTCAAGTCCAAGTCAAGTCTCAAGTCAGGATGGGCAAGTTCAAGTCAAGTCCAAGTCCTAAACTTTGACAAAACGAGTCTTAAACAAGTCATTATGTGCTTTTCACCAAATGTAATGACACCCATCAACAGAATAATACTTAATAATCAAACTGCTCTTTATTAGTCACATTAATACTGTAATAATCTATTTTCTCTCTGCTGGTAAAGTAACGTGTTTTCTTCTATTGTAAGAGGGATCAGTAAGGTAATGCTACTGTGACGGTTTGATTCAGAAGGAGTTTAATTGATAAGATCCCTGATGTTGAGGTAACCAGAATGTTTATTTCCACTGTGTACAACATGTTATAAGGGACCCACAATCTATCTTTATGCAAGGGATAATGTGCAGCGAGGCGTCTCTATGGGGAAAAGAACACCTGAATCTAGATCCCTCTGCAGGTGGTACTTTAACTATATTTTGATGCTAATACTTTTGTACTTTTACTTGTAACATTTTGAATGCAGGACTTTTTATTGTAACCGAGTATTCCTACACTCTGGTACTTTTACTCAAGTACAAGATCTGAACTTCTCCCACCTCTGACAATAAATCCTGAGTGGTTACCAAAAAAAAAACCCTGCTCTGAAGGTTATTTTCATTTTACAAATCCTGCACTCAGCTTTGCTTTCTCCAATATCATTGAAATGCAGCCAGATACTGCTTCTTTTTTCGGTTTTCGCTAATTTCTTGACTTTTTCCGACGCGCTTGCATTTAAATCTGTCTCCCCGTCGCTCTGTGTAGCTGGCCTGTACCACTACACCTGCTGTCTTTGGAGCGTCTGCCCCCCACCCTTCTTTCACATAATGGTATGATCCTAGTGTGTCCTCACATATGATTGGCCGCATGGTGGCCCAGCTAAATAAAGATGCAAGGATTCTCAGCAAGAGTAGAAGCGGCTGGAGGTTCTGCTCTCCCCGACGGGAGTCTGCTCGCGGCATCTCGCGATCGGCGTGTTGGAGACCTCTGAATTAAATTATCAAGTCACCTCAAGTCAGAGGGCTCAAGTCCAAGTCAAGTCCCGAGTCATTGGTGTTCAAGTCCAAGTCGAGTCGCAAGTGTTTTGTGATTTTGTCAAGTCGAGTCCAAAGTCATCAAATTGGTGACTCGAGTCTGAATCGAGTCCAAGTCATGTGACTCGAGTCCACACCTCTGCTAGACACTATAAACGGGTATATTAGATCCTAAGAATAAAAAAAATGTACCTTCAAGTTTTACATCTGTATGACAAGATAAAATGTCTATGTTGTTTTGCACAGTTTACCAGTAAGGGTTTGCACAGAACTATTTGTGCACAGCGTGTACACACAGTGTTGCATGTTGTCAGGTTGGGCTGCAGGGTAAGACTTGTAGGATTTAATAACTGCCACTCCCACTAGTTGGTTTCACTACATATAGCGAACCCCTTGAACCAATGCATGTATGTCCCAACAGTTTTATTTTACAAGGTCTCAATACTTTAATATCTTATTTATGTCACTTAGAGACTCAGTGAAGACTCGGTTCATTTCTGGCTCCAGGGCTGAAGGCTCTCTAGATGGCGGTGCGTGTGCATCGCGAGGCTCAGTGTCTGAAAAATAGTGCTTTTGTACCTAATTATCTCGTGTGTGTTTGCTCGATTCAGCTGGGCGAACTACTCATACAGCAGACAGTCACTTCTGGATATAAATCATCGATGTATCAACATAGTTTTGGACTATCAATTCAACTTCGGCGAGCTACCACCTGAGTAGTGATATTCATACCGCTTTCGTCACAATAGTATGCATTAGTATAAAAAGTAACTGGTGGTGTGACAGCTGACACTTGCTACTACTTATGTTATGACCCCCAATAAAACCTTTGATGTGAGGTGTGAAGACAGGTGTCATACAGGTGTGATATGTTTATGACCCCCAATAAAACCTGTGATGTGAGGTGTGATGACAGATGTCATACAGGTGTCATATGTTTATGACCCCTAATAAAAACTTTTGATGTGAGGTGTGCGGTGTGATGTCTAATCTTTATGACGTGAGATGACAGGTGTCATATGTTTATGAGGTGTTGTTTTATGGTGTCATATGTTTATGAGGTGTTGTTTATGAGGTGTTGTTTATTATGGTATAATAAACCTTTGATGTCTGTCCTTTGATGAATGTCTGATGACAGATGTCATATGTTTTATCAGGTGTTGTTTATGAGGTGTTGTTTATGAGGTGTTGTTTATTATGGTATAATAAACCTCTCTATGTTCGCTCCAAGAGCCTCAAAGGGCGGACTCATGAGCTCCGTAATGTCCCTCTAACATGGCACTTAGACTATTTCCATCATCCAGGGAAACACAACTTCAAAGGGGCTTCCTTAGTTAATAAAGTAATTAAACAATAAAAGATCAATGGGTCATTAAGATCTTTACATTATTATTACCCATTTCAAAGAGACTTCCTTATAGTTAATAAAGTAATTACACATTAGTTCACACGCCATACAACTTAAAAGAACATCCTTAATTAACACAAATCATATTAAACAAATATTTTAGAGTGGGCAATTGAACAACAGGTCAGACACTCATCAAAGGACGGACATCAAAGGTGTATTTACTGGTGTGTTTCCCTGGATGATGGAAATAGTCTACATGCCATGTTAGGGCGACATCACGGAGCTCAGGAGTCCGCCCTTTGAGGCTTGAAGAGCGGACAAAGAGAGGTGTATTTACTGGTGTTGATCCCTGGATGATGTAAATAGTCTAAGTGCCATGTTAGGGGGACATTACGGAGCTCATGAGTCCGCACTTTGAGGCTTTTTTAACATTAATACTTTTTGCTTTGTTTGTGTTACTAAGATACTTTTAGATACACTTTGAAGTGTGCAACACTTTACAACTGGTAGAATATTAAGTACTTTGTAAGGAATTGGGTTTCTCTAAAAGGCAAGTTTTGTGATTTTAACACTTTTTTTTACTGACACTCTGCAGATTTGTGTGTAATTCTCTCACAAAGGAACTGTAAGATACACTTTTATGTATGCAAAACCTTAAAAACTAGAAAATAAAATACTTTGTCTGAATAGATTTTCTTTGAAGGCACTTTGATTTTAACGCTATTTCAGTGGAACAATCCAGTTTTGTTAACATTAATGCTTTTTTCTCTTTTCTTGTGTTACTAAGATACTTTTAGATACACTTTGATGTATGCAACACTTTACAACTGGTAGAATATTAAGTACTTTGTAAGGAATTCGGTTTCTTGGTAGAATATGAAGTAATTTGTAAGGAATTGGGTTTCTTTAATGGCAGTTTGTGATTTTTAGGGCTGTTTCAGTGAGACAATGCAGTTTTGATAATTTCAAGTTTCAAGTTTCAAGGCTTTATAGTCATCTACACATTAGCTACAGTGTGGATATGTCAAGGAAAAATGTAGTTCACAGGCTCCTCCAACAGTGCAACATATATATATATATATATATATATATATATACAGGACATAGAACAAATAAAACAGATAAAATAGTGCAATAGAATGTTTTGAGATGACAGATTTGTGCGTAATTCTCTCACAAAGGAACTGTAAGATACACGTTTATGCAACAGGTCAACAGAGGACGCCATCTCCACGGCACTCCACTCTGCCCTAAACCACCTGGATAGCCCCAAATCTTACGTCAGAATGCTGTTCATAGACTTCAGTTCAGCATTCAACACTGTGATCCCCTCCAAGCTGATCTCCAAGCTTCGCCAGCTTGGTATCAATACATCGCTCTGTAACTGGATGCTGGACTTTCTGACTAACAGGCCCCAGTCTGTGAAGTTAGACAACCTCTCCTCTTCCACCACTACCTTGAACACTGGCGTGCCACAAGGCTGCGTGTTGAGCCCTCTCCTGTACTCCCTGTTCACCCATGACTGCGCTGCTGTTTATGATTCTAACACCATAATAAAGTTTGCAGATGACACCACGGTGGTAGGCCTGATCAGAGGTGACGACGAAACGGCCTACAGGGATGAGGTACAGCACCTGGCCACGTGGTGTGCTGACAACAAACTGGCTTTCAACACCAAGAAGACCAAGGAGATCATCCTGGAATTATTGGGACACTCCTCTTAATCATTTAATTCAGGTGTTTCATTCAGTCCCATTGCCACAGGTGTATAGAATCAAGCACCTAGCCATGCAGTCTGCCTTTAAAAACATTTGTGAAAGAATTGGTCGTTCTAAAGAGCTCACTGAATTCGAACGTGGTAGGATGCCACCAATGCAACAAGTCAGTTGGTGACATTTCTTCTCTCCTAGATATTCCACGATCAACTGTAGGTGGTATTATTGCAAAGTGGAAAAGTTTAGAAACCACAGCAACTCAGCCACAAAGTGGCAGACCACGTAAAGTTACAGAGCGGGGGGGCGGAGTGCTGAGGCGCATATTGCGTAAAAGTGGCCAAAGCTCTGCTGACTCAATAACTGCAGAGTTCCAGCTCTGGCATTAATATCAGACCAAAACTGTGGAAGCTCCATGGGTTTTCATGGCTGAGCAGCTGCATCAAGCCTTACATCACCAAGCACAATGCCAAGCGTCAGATGGAGGGGTGTAAAGTATGGGATTCGTTTTGTGTCATAAAGATAAAGCAACACCAAATCATTTGTGTAATCATGTAAACTTTAAGTATTTTTTCTTTGTTTTAACATAGGTTTTTGTTTGCAGTTCTTGTTGCTTCTTTCTCAATGATCAGACTTTTGCTCTCGCTGCAGCTCTCTCGTTTGCGCTCCCTCATTTTTTGTTTCCGATTCTGACACAAACGTCCCAGGTGGGCGGGACTTTCAGAGGTGCGTCCCCATTGGCTACTCAGCCACTGGAATCTGGAGCAGTGGAAACGTGTTCTGTGGAGTGACCAATCACACTTCTATCTGGCAATCTGATGGACGAGTCTGGGTTTGGCGAATGCCAGGAGAACGTTACCTGCCTGACTGCATTGTGTCGACTGTAAAGTTTGGTGGAGGAGGGATAATGCTATGGGTTGCTTTTCTGGGGTTGGCCTAGGCCCCTTAGTTCCAGTGAAGTGGATTCTTAATGCTTCATCTTAACAAGTCATTTTGGACAATTCTATGCTTCCAACTTTGTGGAAACAGTTTGGGGAAGGCCCTTTTCTGTTCCAGCATGACTGTGCCCCACACAGCAAGGTCCATAAAGGCATGGTTGGATGAGTTTGGTGTGGAAGAACTTGACTGGCCCGCACAGAGCCCTGACCTCACCCCATTGGAAACCTTTGGGATGAACTAGAACGGAGAGCCAGGCCCTCTGTCCAACCTCAGTGTCTGACTTCACAAATGCTCTTCTGGATGAATGGGCGTCCCCAGGGGCGTCGCCTGGACCTGAAAACATTCGGGGCTTAGCCCACAGTGGCGGCGGCACCACAGTGGCATTTTTACTGCAACACTCCCCACACGCACACACAATACACCCGCGATTTTTTTTTAAATATTGAAGTTAAAAGCATCAATCTGGTGCACTTTGAGAGCAAAATGAAGAGATCTATGGATACCTCTCTCAACACCCATATGAAGCAGAACTGTAAACAGATGTACTTTTTCTTTATGGATATTTTACAAATCACTCCCCTTTTAAACTCTATTCTTGTTTTACTGCCATATAGTATTTCATAACTGTTTTTCCTTTATTCTCTTATTTTTTTTATAACTATAATGATCATATGAAGGTGTGCCGCAGAAATAATCTTTTGAATAATTTGTGACCAAACCGTTTGAGACCCACTGAGATAACTTAGACTAAAGTTAAGTATCTAAACACTCAGAGAGTCCTTTAGCTCACCTGAGTCTCTCAGTCTGAGAGGAGAGGACTCTCCTCCAGCTTGTTGTGGAACAAACAGCTCCTTATGTCCGTTAGTGCAGCTAGCTAACCAGATGCTAACAACACGGTCCCTTCTGGCACCGGTCCCTCCCTCCCCCTCTCTCCGTCTCTCTCTCTCTATCACACTAAATGCGCTATTGCCACACACACACAGAGCCGAGCTTGAATGACACAAGCACACGTTTATTTCCATGCAACTCTCTGATTGGTCTGGTGTCATGCCTCTGTTGCATTCACTGAACACGGGAAATTACAGTGCTGCCGTCCTCTCGTGTCATGATGAGGTTCACGTAAAGCACGCTTAATGTATTATATTATTGAGGGAGAATTGTCCGGGGCTACAGAAAAAACATTCGGGGCTAAAGCCCCGGATGCCCTGGCCAGGCGACGCCACTGGGCGTCCCACAGACACACTCCAAAATCTTGTAGAAAGCCTTCCCAGAAGAGTGGAAGCTGTTGTAGCTGCAAAGGGGGACCAACTTCATATTAATGCCTAAGAATTAGGAATGGGATGTCATAAAAGCTCCTGTAGGTGTAATATGTAGGTGGCCCAATACTTTTGTCTATAGTAGGTCAGGAGGACAGACAGAAAAGGACTGAGTAGAGGAAAGGTTGTGGACTGACCGAGGCCACGAACAGGTCTCCGATCTTCTCGCTGTGATCCCACTCGGCCACTCGGGATGCCAGGGCAATTTGGAACATGGAGTGGCACTGATGGATCTCCTGCAGACGGTAAAAGATTTGACGAACCTTCTTGGGGTTTAGGACCAAGTTCTGTGGCTCCAACAAAGGCTGCTGGTACTCCTACACAGAGAAAGGTTGGTTGGACATCCTGTTGATCTGTGCATACATTTCCTTCAGCATACAAAGAATCTCTGGAGATGAAATAGTGTACTTTGCAAATTGACTTTTTTAAACGTTTCTAATGTCTTGAGAGATTAATAATGACCAAAAATGTCAATTGTCAGAATTTGTGGGTAAAATATTATTATCACCATGAATCAAAAGGAACCACTGCATAGCTCCATCATCACTACCGTTTTTCTTTTGGTTTTCCATACAAGAGCTTAAGAACCTCACCTTTGGAGTGAGTTAAAAAATAGCAGCCCAATTCCATCCCTACTGTCTGTCAAAAACACAAAGCTCTCCACACGGACCGGCTGCTACATGTGAGAAATGAGACTCACCTGTAGAATTCTCTTCAGAGAGTCCAGGTAGCTGCACTCACTCTGGACGATGGAGCTGAGGATGAGACGTCTGACAACCTGAGGAGGAGGAGAGAAATGCAGGTACTATTTCTGAGTTATACCATTATATAACATTACATCCTATAAATGTTCTAATCAAATCTGATATTAAATGGCAGTGTTGTGATAAAAGTGGGTCACTGATTAAGGCCTGGTCAAATGTCCTGTAATGGCTCACATGGTGAATCAGAACCTGTGATGTCATCACTCTGCTGCTCTCACTTTCACTTTTCAACACAAACTGAATTGTTTTCAGTCACATATGCATTCAACTTTCTTCTGTTTTATTTTAAGCTTAATATTAGAAATGAACAATTTTCTACAGAAAGTATTTAATTTATAAGGTAGGAGTAAGGCTTTTATTTTGTAACATCTGCAGGAAGTGTTGAGTTCTGCTGACAGTTGAAAACAGAAATAAAGAAGCCATTAATTAGAGAATGAAAACAGCATGAGAGTGACAAAGAGAAAGCTGGAGCATGACATGACGTGTTGTTGTTCTGATGGACTGAGAGCTGTGTATTTTACACACTAATGTATAATGACGGGCCAAACTGTATTGATTTACACCCCTCTGCCTCTGCATAGAGAAAAAGCTGGCCTTTCAAGATTGTCTGCTCCTTTTGACACACAGGAACGCACCTGGTATTCACACACACTAAACAGCACAAGCTACCGAGATGCACTTAGGCGGAATATAACTGAAACTATGACCAAGAAAAGGAGCTGCAGGTACAAAAAGCCCGGAAAAGTATTTACTCTGTGTGAAGCCGGTGGAGGGCAATTCACACACAGAGTTTTTTATGACATTTATCAGAGTTGTTTCAATCGCACATGGAGGTGAATATGATTTAGAGCAACACACTGCATGCAAGACTTTAATTATACACTACTGTGTTTAATATAAATGTTTACATTTTAGAGATAAATGGATATTATATTGAAGTCTAAAGTACCTCTCAGCATCTTGGTAACATGTCCCACATTGTCCCACGTAATCATACTCTTTGTCCTACATTTGTGCGAGTACACACTGGTCTACATACACACCTGCTGACTGCTGAGTCCCTCTGGCGTGGGGGACAGCTGTGCTGGGGGGTGCTTTATCTCACACACAGACACATCTACGTAACCTGCATCATCCTTTCCCTCGCCTGCAAATTCAAACACAATTACTTTATGCACTCAGAGGAAAGAACACATGAATCTGTTCTGGTTCCCGTGTTACAAACATGTACAACTGCCATTTCGCGTGTCCATTCATGTAATTATGATCCACACCTACAAAGTCTAACTCCAGAGATGTTATGTATGCACCAGATCAAATGGATACATTCGGTTTTCTTGGTGCTACCCTCAGGCCACTAGGATCCTGATAGTGAAGTGACTGCCCCCATGTGAGGTGAACGTGAACGAGGTGAACGTGTTTATTCCAGTTCCAGTTTCTGTACCTGTGGAATCTTTTCTCTGCAGGAAGGACACTTTACGAAACATGGCTAACTTTGTCTTCTCTAACCCGTCCATGGTACCATTTTTCGCTGCTTTCATCAGCTGCTGCACCTGAAACACAATGTAAAAACAGACATGGAACACATCTGAAACAGACATGTAACAAAGCCCTTAATGTGTCATGTGACTGTGTTGGTTATCCCGGGTTTACAGGCCCAGCAGAATCTCAGTTGTATCAGTAGGAGAGTCATTCCTACCCAGTGTTGGGTGTAACGCGTTACAAAAGTAACGGAGTTACAGTAATGTATTACTTTTTGCTGTAACGCAGTAATGTAACGCATTACTAATGACATTTGGGTAATATAATACCCGTTACAATTCTCAGTAACACACGTTACAACACACTTTAACCCGAAATTAAGTGGTGTTTTGTGCGGGTAGATTAGTAAGCCTGGTGTTTATGTGCAACGAGGCGGTCATTATGGGGAAAAGAACACCCGACAGGCTGATCAGGGGGCCCGACGCGAAGCTTATTACACGGCCATATACTAAACAAACTAAGGAATCGACTCCCAATATTAATTGAAATTATTTTAATGACTTAAAAATTATCGTATTTCTTCCGCTAAGAAAAAAAAAACTCTGTTCCACGGCGCACCAAAGGCTGGAACTGCGACAACAACTTTACGGCAGCACTGTCCAAGGCCCAATTCCAAACCACACCCTACCCACTCCCCTCCGTGATGGAGTGAACTCCGCCTGTAGTCTCACTCGCAGTTTAATGAGGCTCCCTTCTTTCGGGCCGGCTAAAATGATTGGTCGTGCTTTTTACAGTACTACGGCTTCCACAGATGAAAGTTTTGTATGGATTTTTTGTCAAAGCACTTAAGATATTCATTGCTATCGGGATGTTAAGAGCATTCCATGGAATATAACAAAAAGTGTATCTTGAGCCGGTTTCTCAAACTTACCTACCCCACCTTTAAATGTCTGTCTTGTTTGGCGCAGTTTATCAGTGGATGTTTCCACGGAACTATTTCCAAACAGCTTGTTTCCTGACGGACACACACAGCATTAGTTGGTCAGGTAGGGCAGCAGGTGAAGTCAGGTGCGATGCAGACTCGCTGTTGAAGGGCTTGATAACCCACTCCCCCTCCACACTCATTTGTTTGGAACAGCACTTAATGTGGCGGACCCTCCACGCGAACGCGCACACTTGAGGGGTAGTGTGTAGGGGTAGGGTGTAGGGGGCGGTTTGGAATTGGGCCCAACTCTGTTCACAGTTTCTGAGCCACTAACAAGTCCCTAAACACTGCAGAGCCCATACTGTGTTCCTTCCTGCTAGTGTTTACTTCCTGTCTGCCTTCTTCTGGTGATCTTTTCCTTTCTCTTTCTTGATCCTCCTTAGAAACGGTCATTATAGTCCTTGACAGCAGTCTGTACTACTGTATTAACAACGTGTCACATGTTTTGAATTGACCAATCAGAATTGAGTATTCAACTAAGCCGTGTAATAAAAGTTGTTAGTAGCCTTAATGGCCTACACAGTTGTTATGCTATACCACATTGCCCTTCACTAGATGTATAATGAGCTGCACTAAACTACATTTGAGCATTTAAAATACCTAGCCATTCTTTTGCAGTTATTTTGGTGAAAGTAACTCAAAAGTAATATAAAAGTAGTGTAACTCATTACATTTCAGAGACAGTAATTTTGTAATGTTACTTATTACTTAAAAAAGACAGTAATAAGTAATTTGTACTGTATTACATTTTGGAAGTAACTTGCCCAACACTGTTCCTACCTTAGTGTCACAGCTCTGTCTGGTGTGGGCAACTTGAGGAGTACTGAGACGCCCCCCTCCCTCCCTCTTGGTGGAACCACGGGTCTCCTTCAGCCTCTGCACATCAGCAGTCAGCTGGGGGTCCGGCAGCAGACAGCGAGCAGAAACATAAAGTTTGAGATGAACACTGAAGCAGCGTCATGTACTGTATCACCTCAACACACTCTCCTGGAGCTGGGGAGGGATATCTATGTCTGGGGTGTGGAGGAAACTTCTGTGTAGCAATGCAGTGGGAGTCACCGACTCAGGAAAGAGACACGGTGAGAGTTGGAGCTTTGATGTCAAACACTGATGGGTTTATTCAGAGTATCGGCCGGAGGATTCACATCACAAATCACGGAGTCAGCGGTTCTGACTTACGGGAGAGTTGCCACGTCAATTCTGAAGAGCCTCTCTCTATGTTAGAGAGAGTAATCAACATATCTGAGAAAGTAGACTAAACAGCTGGGAACACTGAATCACTTGCGTCCGACACTTATGGCCTCAAAGATTTCACACCTTAGAGTCCACAAACACCGATAAGGAAGTGCCTCAGCGTTCTCACAACAATTACCATTCGTGCCAGACAAGTTGACCGGTCACAAACTGGTGACAACAACACATATGGCACCAATGCCTTTCCTTAAAGGAGATAACAGACGTCAGAGTAGATCATAAAACGTCACAGAGCAAAAGGTTAGATATCTAGAAGAATTATCCCTTAACATGGGGTACACTCTAGGGGGGGGGGGGGGTGGGGGGGGGGCAATATTTTTTGAAAATGTACTGTTACATATACTGTTATGTTTATTTTATAGCAAACAATTCAATTCCACTTGAATATAGTATATAGAATTTGTCATATGTTATCATATTTGACTGTACTCAGTTTCTTACATAATTATATTCTGTGTTAATATTGTCTTTATTTTTTATTTGTTACAATAGTTAAAAAGCTTTTATAATTGTAAAACGTTTTGCTACGTATTCTTATTTCTTTGTCTTTGTTTGCACCATTATACCAAAGCAAATTCCTCGTATGTGTAAACATACAATAATTATATTTTCGATGTGTAAGATATTGAAACGATTCAGTTACTCTGTTGTGCAGTACAATGCTGTGTATGTGTACAGTTTCTCATGTCCCAGTGAGGACACTCTGTGTATTACATCCCATGATTAATGCACACCACATTATTTATAGCTTCTATGACCCAAGGCTGGGAACAGACATTCAGATAATTTGAAACAAACAAAGAATATCCATCCATATCATACTTTACAGCAACAAATGCAGTTTTTTTTGTCTTGGTATTTAGAAAGATGCATCATTATGGCCGGGGATAACAACTATGATCAGAGTCATGCAGCCAGGAAACATCAAGTGCACACAGAAAACACAAAGCCTATCATATTCATCAGCTACTGCTGACACTAACATCTGAGGTGAGCCCTCTAAATATGACATCATGCCTGACTAACATCGATCGTTTATTGTATTTCAAGAAGCAGCAACTCTAACATACTGGATGTTCTAACTCATATTCACTTATATCCACACACTGCTTAATTTACATAAATTATAAAATGATCAAAGGTGTTTTAAGAACTGATATAGCCTGTTCAAAAGTTCACAACTCTTCCTATGTAGTGTAAACGTTTGAAAGTAAGATTTAAAATCCGGTCAAAACAAAAAAAATGAAAAGTCAACAAGATTAAGAAACTGATCATCACTCACTATATTGTCAATTGTCAGGCAGGTGACAGTCCAATGCTTGGTAGTATTTGATTAAAGCCGTAGAAAACAAGACACATACCTCACACTGTGTATCAATGAATCTCTTGCATTTAGAACATGTTTTCTCCTTCAAAAGTCTGATGTCTTATCCAAGACAGAGAGACATCCTCTGAGTTTAAAGCCAGATGATAAACTTCTTATTGTGAATGTGATAACATCTACACACTCTGCTGCTTTCTCAAACAGCAACACATGAGCTGAGAGGGGAAAGTCCACCCGAGCAGTCACACATGCTAACAGAAGCAGAACACACATGTGCTGACAGAGCGAGGCCAGGGACTGACACAAATAATTTGCTTCCCCTTTTCAGGTTTCGTTTACACTGTTCATTGATTTTAAAGAAGACTGGGCTAAACTGTGCCTAACTGATCTTTAACGTCTTGATCGTCTGTGTTATTGCTTGTAAAATGTTTGGGACCATGTTGTCAGGGGGAAAACATAGGGGTACATAGACATTGTGGAACATTAAACAACAAAACAGACACATATGGAGACCAAAACTAGAGCTAAAGGTGAGAGACTAATGCTCTCACACTCGTTAGGTGGACACAAACACACACACCCCGTAACTAACCACAGCCATGTTATAGTGCGGCAGCTTAGCAAAATTATGGGGACACGCCGGATAAAAGCACCACATTTTTTCCATGTGTTCTACATCACCATAGCTTTAAATTTGGGGGGGAGCTACTTCATCAAGATGGAAGATGGCGGCCATCTTGGATTTCCAAGCTGGGCCGCCATGCAAAAGCTATAAGTGCCAATATCTCGGCTTCCAAGCCACTTAGAAGGTCAATCTTGGTGTCAAAATATACATTTTCTGGGTCAGGGAATGCATTAAAGCTATTGAGAATTTCATAATGTGACTATTGTTTGCCAATATTTAATTATTTGGTCCATTCGGGCAATATATCAATTCAATTTGACTCATTGTAGACCCCTTCATTAGGACCCAATTTCAATGAATAAATTACTGAGATTGAACAAATATATTTTTCTAAATTCCGACTCCCTTTTCATCTCTACCCACTGCCACTGACACAACTCACATAGCTGAGTAGTGGGCGGGTACTATTAATCTTGCCTGGCATTGGCGAAGCTGCAGCAGGATGCCTTCTTGGACATGGTGACTGATAATGAGAAGAGCAAAGAAGCTTGGAGACAAGATATGATCACAAAGAGTCCAACATTTCACGACTGGGATGGCTCTTTTTCTGCTCTATCTACGTAAATGTCCCCTCTGTGGGACTAATAAAGGTATTCTGGTTCTGATTCTGACCATCCTCAACATGGAAAATCTGGGTCTGATATTTGTGCAGGCGCACAGAGAACAAGATTTCCCCCTCTATGTGGAGTCACTGAAGGCCCTCGTCCAATGGTTCTTCGCCCTTGATCACCAGAACTATGCCCGATGGATTCCTGTCCACATCCGGGACATGGAAAGCTTGCCCACGTCCATTCACAAGGAATTTGAAGAACATGGTCATTGGGTTGTTCCCAAACCCACAAACAGATTCTCAAGCATACCGATAGACCAGGCTCATGAGCAGAATAATGATCTGGTGAAGGGTTCTGGGGCTGCTGTGGGACTCACCGAGAATCCTGAAGCCTTCAAAAAGTGGATGATCGCAGGGCCTGAACAAGCACGACCCCTAAAAGAGTTTGAGCAGGAGTATATTTTAGAAAAAGGCAATAAACAACACCACCGAAGAAGGAATGTCTACACAGAAGACATTCAAAGAGCAAGCACTAGCTCTGGTGCACACCATCAGTGGGATGAGCAATCCGTTCCTAGATGATACCCCGATCTTCCAATGGTGGACACGGAATATCATTGACGAGTCTGTTGTTAACACAGTGGAATCAGTGGGCAGAGATCAGTACAACAAGTCCCATAAGAGAGTGATCAGGGACCGCACACACTCCATTAATGAGCCCATCAAAAAGAACTCAATGCCTCTCTTTAGATGGCCAACACCCAGGACAAAGACCAAGCAGGCAGGGCAGATCTCAATGAATGGGATGATGTGGCACTCTTTTCCCAATTATATATAGCCATGCAACACAGAGAGGGGGATATGAGCACCTTCTTTAAGCATGAAAACCATCCATACCCTCCCTCTCTATCTGACAGAGGGAAACTACGGCTTGGAAAGAAGTCAGATCTGCTAATTATTCTGACAAAGAAGACACAACAGGAACCTCCAGGTACTTTTGATGTGAAAGTACTCGACGGTGCAGCTGTTGTGCACTTCCTGTCCACATCCCAACATTACCACATTTGATGAATATGCCAGTTGTGTCTTTGGTCCCCACATCATGAAGCCCTTTAAGACATCAGAGTTGATGTGGTCTGGGATACTTACATCACCAGAAGCATAAAAGAGTCAACGAGGGAGAAGCGAGGCAAAGGGATACGGCGGAAGGTTGCTGGTCAGAACAAGCTGCCAAGGAACTAGCCAGATTTCTTGCGTGACCCCAGGAACAAGCAGGAACTCTTCACCTTCCTCTCCAGTAAAATGTCATCCACTGCCTGGCCAGTTGGCAAGCAGGTCTTCATTTCATCTGGCGTCAGAGTAGTTGGCACAGACACCAGCCACTTCATGCTGCCATGTAACCATGAAGAGGCTGACACCAGGATTATGATTCATCTGCTTGATGCCCTGGAGCATGGCTCTTCTACTTGGTACGCACTGTGGATACGGATGTTGTCGTTATCCTCATCGGCAAGTTCCATGCCCTGCTCACCAAGTATCCAGCTGCAGACATCTGGGTTGCTTTTGGCACCGGCAAAAACTACACTTATCATCACATCAATACCATCTGCCATACTTTGGGCAAAGACAGGTCAACAGCACTTCTCTTCTTCCACTGTTGCACCGGCTGTGACACAACCTCAGCCTTCTGCGGCAAGGGGAAGAAGTCAGCATGGGATGCTTGGAATTCCTACCCTGAGGTCACCCAAGCCTTCAACTATATTGCAGCAAATCCGCATACTCCCGTGACCATAGATGCCGAACACTTTCGACTTCTAGAGCGCAACACAGTAGTCCTTTACGACAAGACAAGTGATTTGGAATCTGTAAATGAAGCACAGAGAAAGATGTTCTGCCAGAAGAACAAAACAATGGAACACATTCCACCAACACAAGATTCCCTGCTACAGCCCTTGAAGTGAGTTGCCTACCAGTCTGGGATCTGGGCAACATCTGAACTGGCCCAGCAGCGGACAAACAGTCCAGAAGGATATGGATGGACTTTGGATAGAGACAGCCTGGTCTGGCTTCCTGTGTGGAGCACTTTACCAATGGCTTCGAAAGCCTGCACTGAACTCGTCAAGTGTGGTTGTAAAAGCTGTGGTGCAAGGTGCTCATGCAAGAAGGCACACTTGAAATGCATAGAGCTTTGCAGTTGTAAATGTGACAGATAATGTAATTATAGCCTAGATGTAAAAATTCTTTATGTTAAAAAAGGAAGCAAATAAAGTGAAATTAAATTCATGCATATTGTCCATTTATCAATGTATATGACTTAAATTAATGTACATATGACCTATAGTCGAGCCGCTTAGGAACCAAGTAAAAAATGATGTGAATACATTGCCAGTATTACCATATTTATTTGATCTCGGTACAAATAATCATCTAGTGATATTCTCAATAGCTTTAATGCATTGCTTGACCTAGAAAATGTACTTTGACACCAAGATTGACCTTCTAAGTGGCTTGGAAGCCAAGATATTGGCACTTATAGCTTTTGCATGGCGGCTCATCTTGGAAATCCAAGATGGCCACCATCCGCCATCTTGATGAAGTGGCTCCCCCCCCCCAAATTTAAAGCTATGGTGATGTAGAACACATGGAACAAATCTGGTGATTTTATCCGGCGTGTCCCCATCCTTCTCAAATCGGGTCATAAGCCGCCGTACTATTAACACAGAATGGGATGATATGTCATTGATGTGTTGTCAGCATGTTCTGCTGACCCCAAGTGTCCAAGAAAAGTATTGCATGTAAATACGTTTTGAATGTCTGTTATTTTGCCATCATGTTTTAGTGTTCTCTATAATACATTGTATGAATTATATAATACACAACTAACATATTATGTAAATGGTAACTTTCAGGGAACAATTACACAAGTTCAACTGTACTAAATGGAAATATGAGTGAAAAGAAGCATTCTTTCTGTGGACTGAATGTCATGCCAGAGACCAGAGAACTATAACGAGGACTTGCTAATCTTATTGACAGTAAAATAAAGTGTATGAGGGAGGCACCTTGCTGCTGTGTGCCGGAGCAGCCTCGCTGTCTGAAAGCTCATCATAACTCTCAAATTCACTGGAGCTCCAGCCGCTGGAGCCGCACTGATCCGTTCTCTGGATGTCCTCGTAGATGTCATCAACATCTACACATAGAAAACCACAGATGAAAAACATGTGCTACTCATGTAGCCTATTCTGTTTGAGTCTGTCAAATAAATCTGTGCAGCCCACAGTGTAGAATAAAGCGTGGTGGTCAATGATGTGAAAACAACACTCACCTCCCACTGGGTGCTGTTTATGTTCAGCAGGCACATCATCATAGATGGCCTGTGGGTGTCTGAGCACACTGTGGGGGGGGCGGCCCCCTGCAGTGTGGTGCTCAGTGTGAGGATTGGCTGAAGACAACACCTGTTCCTCAGCAGCGTCCTCATTACCCCCTCCTGTCATTATAGAAGACTTTCCTACAACATAAAACCATTGAACCAGTGTTAAAGGAGCAGAGCTGCTAACATTAGTCGACTTATCAATAACTGAATTGGCAGAATAATTATTATTATTATAATTCTCATGCAGACATTTAAAAAAAAAAATCATCAAATCATTGGGTGACAAAAAAAAAGGAAGTTGTAACCCCATAAATGACTTCAGATGTACCAGTTGTAGTAGAATGCAGTAAAACCTGCACTTTCTTCAATATTATTAGAACATTCCCCTATAGAATACAAATAAGAGAAATATTTACATCCATTTTCAGTATCCATCTTTTCCATGTATGTTCAAATAATCATATTGTTATATGGATTGTCTCTGTTGTAATTTTACTATGTAGTTTATTCTTTTGCCCGCCCTGGCAGATGCCTCCCTCCTCTGTGTCCCTGTGGTCTCTGCTGCAGTTATTCCCTGTTCGCTGCGAGGGTCTCGGGACAGTGGCTGTCGTATGCTGACATTTCTTTAAAAGCCCCATTTCTTTTTAATGATATGTTGTATTAGCAAATAGAAAATCTACACAAATCCACATTAGTGATCCATTGCCGTCCATTTATTCAAAGAAAATAGTAAACAAAAACTCTAAACTCTTAAACAAAGAGGCCACACAGCATATCAAGGGTAGCTTGTTTCAACAACATGTGACATTTGAATGATTGATAGGCAGCAAGCAGTTGTAGTTGATGTGCTGATGATCTGACAAATCATTTAAGCACTGAAAAAACTGAAATGTTGACTTTAATTAAAAGGTATTATGTGAACGGATTTCACATAAATGTATTAGGTTGAATGAAATCAATAATATAAAGTTGAAATAAAACATATTAGGTTCAACTTAATTTTGTCATTAGTTATGCAAAATTTGTTGACATAATACATTTAAGTAAAGTCAACCTTTCAGCGTACACACACACACACACACACACACACACACACACAAACACACACACACACACACACACACACCTGTCAACACAATACTAATATCTGCTCAAACAAAAACCTCACTACCATATGCACTACTGTTCACAGGAGCCACTTTAAGCACACACAACAGGGGTCTGATGCAGGGGATAACTAGCTAATGCTAATGCTATCTGTATATCTTACCTTTGCTAGGAGCTAGCTACTACCAAATCAAGCTAACAGAGGAAGGTTCTGTACCTTTGTTTAATCGCACTGTGAGCTCTGAAACCACACTGAGCCACTCCGTAGCTCGATGTGATGCGTGTGCTGTTTGGATGCAATCAAACACAAAACATCCTCACTTTGGTGACACATGGACACAGATCTGGAGAACTGGACGTTAGATACTGATGTTCCTCTGATTCTCACCTTCATAAACACTGTTTGCTTTCCAGAAATTCTCCGGCTCTCCTGTCGCTGCCACATCCGAGGAGGTGGAACATCTGCAACAAGCATTTTAGTCTGAAGGTCATTAAAGAGCTCTTCACATTTATCTTTGCGGTTATTTCTCTTGTATTCTTGAGATTTATTGCACTCCAAAACTTCCTAACAAATAATTCCAAAGCCTGTTTGCCCAAAAAAGTCAAATTGAGGTAACGTGACCAAAGATTGAACTTTAAGACTTGAAAAAAGCTGGCGATGTATTTGAGCAAGACAGTAACCCTTCTGGTAAGTGGATCTTGTGGTGAGTTGATTTTTCATTAGTATCTTGTAGTTGTTTGTAAAGCTACAACAAAGGATCCAGATTTTCATGCTCAGCTAAACTTTGGGTTAATAATGGGAGAATCGCCCAGTGGCAGGTGGATCAATCCCAGACTGAAACCATGAACCTCCGTCACATACAACATGGCATTTATGGTAGTAATAAGTCCTACCAAATGACAAAAAAGTACCGGGTGAGATGAAGTCAATAATGTGGATCACTGTTTACTGGTTTGAACTGGTTTGCCTTTATGGGCCTCTGTCCACATAGCGCCTTTTTCTGGCAGAAAGCTGCTCCATTCGTTTCAGCAGAAAAAGGTCATAGCGCTTTGTCACTGTTTCCATGAAGATATCTAAACAACAACTTTTGTAAGACAGGCTAGCATGGATTTCATCATATGTTTGTAGGACATTGTTTTTTCACTATGAGCACAGACAAAAGTGTGTCATTTTAACAGAAGGATCTTGCTCTCACCTTTTGTCTGAATGAGCTTCACTGCTCAGTCTGACAGGCGTTGAGTGAGGAGGAGGATAACAGACCCTCAATCACTAGCAGCTAACACCTGGTGTCCCCTGGCCGATCTGCTCCAACAAACATGCTTCTCAGTCTCTGTTCTGTCTGAACAACACGGCCGTCACCGGCGACTTATGAAAAGTTTTAATATTTTCAACTCTAAGTGCTCCGAGCAGCCACTCAAAAAAGACGTAGAAAAATGGCGCTATGTGGACACAGGCCCTAACTCCACAGTTAGAGTCACAGGTTTGTGTTATTCTGTTAACGATAGCTGTAGGAGCTTTAGCCGAATACTAAAGCTTCTATGTGTTGGTTTAACTCCCGGGGATGACTTGACTGACTCGCTTGCTGTATTTATAGATACCGTTTGTGTTGTTGTGTTCAATGATGAATAGGTAGGCTTGTATTCAGGTGCGGGGTAATACAATCTATTTATTTCCTTAACAAACATCCTTTGCAGTATTCACACTCGTGGTAATGCGGTCAAAAACCTGTTGCCCTTCCGGGGTCAGACACACCCAATCCTGTGACAACACACACCTTAAATACCTGTGCCATAGGGAATCGGTGAGTGACACTCCATGGCACACACAGTGAATAACACACAATGGTGAAACTTCAACCAAAATATGACCATCATTAAAATAGCTATTACAACAGGTTTGGTAAATGTTTGCCAACTTAAATATCTTTACAGAATTAATAAACAAACCAAAGGTATTAGTCGAGCCTTCTTTTTTCCTTTTGGTTTACAGTTTAAAGTACACAGTTATTTTAAATATAAATTAGACATTAAATGAATGTGCCAAAATTGTTTTTCTAGGCCTGTTATATTAAACACTACAGTGATTTTAAATTCAGTTTCATTATTGTTTGTTGTGATGTTGCCTGGTGTACAGCAACTCACCCCTCTGGTGACTTCCTGACCGCCATGTCTCCTACAGGGAAAATGCATACAGAGAAGAACATGATGATGGCATCTACAAGCATAAGACTTGTATTTTAGTATATCCACATCTATTGTGTACCTGAGCAGTGTAGCAGTGAGGCGCTGTGGCCTGAGGGCCAGTCCCTCTGCCTCTCAGGAGGGCCCCTGTCATCGCTGTCATCAAACTCAAACTCCTCCCCCTGCTCCTCTTCATCCTCATCTTCCTCTTTGCCTGGAGCCACATCAGCTGCAGACTCTGAGGAGGAAGAATGTGATGTAGTGCTTGTGTGTCCAGGAAGGGTCCACTCCTGTTTTCCCGAATTGTTTTATATAAACCTGTCCGGTTTTTCTCGAATCTTGGAAATGTGGAGTATATCTCTAAATATCAACACTGCACCTCTGTGAATTTCTATTTTTTTTTTACCTACAATGGCCTCATGTATTTATTATTTTTTAAATATTTTTTTATTCAAGTGACAGCTATTAAAGGGGGGGAAAGAGGTGATGACACGCAGCAAATGGTCCCAGGCCAGATTCGGACCCGGGTCCTGCGGTACATGGGCTGCCAGCTCTACCAACTGAGCCATTCGGCGGCTTTGTGTATTTTGTAACTTCGGACCGAGCGGGACTTGTTTGATGTTTAGTTGGTTTATATAACCTGGCTAATGTTTTGTGAGGAGCAGTGGAGTGCAGGTGTCCCCGTACTAAAAGATGGAAGCCCACACACCGTAGGACTGATTGTTTAGGAATCCTTAGATCCATAAGCATTCCCCTGGGTCCCCTGTGAAGTCTGTCCCCTGAGTCCCTGAACATGATGCAACATGTTGGACAGTATGCTGCCAGGGGTCTGCTGATACAGAGCCACGTAAACATAGGAGTAATCGCAGGATTACACTCTGGGCATATGGCTTTTAAGTCCTAACCCTTCACCAGTCACTCCTCCTTTGCACCACCACTTAGACAAACACATCCAGGCAACAACAAGCCTCTGGGCTATAAGCACCTTGGGGCCCCAAAGTGAAAAGTGGACAGAATGTACACATAGTGAACCTGAAGCATCAGGTTCACTATGTGTACATTCTGTCCACTTTTCACTTTGGGCTTCATCACTCAGCCTCAAAAACAAAAGCTCCGCAGAAAGCTGCCGGGGTCAACAGAGCTGCAGCTCCCTACACAGCTCGGGAACAGTGTGACATTTCAATATACAACTAAACAGATTCTGTAATTGTTATTCTTTTTAAATGTAGTTGAAAAACAGTATCTCCATTAAATAGTTCAAAGAGAGCATTTCAGAGTGTTTATGCTATGTGCCTGTGCTATAGATGCTACAGAAGCAATGCCTATTTATTTATTAACCTCTCATGTTTGTACTTGTGGTTTTCAAGTGTTTTTAGATGTGACAGGGGGTGCTTTTTTGGAGATTTGTTTGTTGTCTGTGTCGTGGTGGATCCCTTTTTATCTGCAAACCAATAAATAACCTGAACCTGTTATACACCATTTTTCAGAGGTTTTACATTTTAGTCTTTAGACGTTATGTGGTTCTGTCTTTGAAGAATATCATAACTTAACATTATTTTGTGTTTAATGAATGTGTCACACACTGAACCAGGGGCTGTGTAGTGCTGCAGCAGAGTGTATGAAGGGGCTCACATTAGGACCTGAACTACCCATGGGCTAGCAGATACTATGGTTAGGGATGGATTGCTTATCAGTAAAGTAATCAATGGGGGGGGGGGGGCGGTTTGAGACAAGGCTGTGTCAAGAGCTTATGGCCTGCAGCAGCTAGCAGATGGTCAGTGGGCCAGGAGGCGCTCACCCCAGGACAGCAGGGGATAATGAGGGGGGCTTCACCTGCTGCACATTCTCAGTTTAGAGCGGACACTTTTCAAAGTTTAAAAACCTGACCCGTATAAGGACTAAAAGTAATTACTTCAAACTTTAAGAAAGTTCAATACATAATATGGGGTAACCCTTTGAATCACAGCATCTCTCAGTGCTTCATGTTCCCAGAAATATATGTTCAAAACCTGCTGCAAAGGCTTTTATTGTCAAAGGTTAAATGTTGTGATGTTTAAAAGTTTACCATCATTCACCAAGTCATCTGTATTATTTAACCAAAACACACTGTCTGTGCTGGGCTCAATTACTCACCAGAGGGACGTGGAGAAGTCATCCTCAAAGGTCACACTGGCTCCTGTCAACACACACATCAACACAGTGAAGTCAGCTCTGAGCCTGAAGATACATGCAATCCATGTGAATGTGTTTACAACAGTTCACGCATCATTCACAGCCTCATCTATACACACTTTATTACTAAGAACATGTAGATATGACAGTATTTTCAGATTTATGCAGTGATACAAAGAGCTATCCAAAATCCCCTCAGCAAAAACCTTTAACTGTCAGCAACAGAAAGCCCGGGTTGTCCACATTTTTTACCTTGAAATGTATGCACATTAGGACATATTTAACAAGATCATGCCTAGGGTTGCAAAGGGGCGGAAAGTTTCCGGTAAATATCCGGAAAGTTTCCGGAAAGTTTCCATGGAAAGTTAAGTTGGGGAATTTTGGAAATATTCGATGCAAAATTAAACAAAAAAACATGACATTTCAACAGATTTTTAAATTTTTTAATTTTTTAAAGTAGAACAGAACAAGTTTTAATTATTTTATTGAACAATTATTTGTTTCATTGAAGAACGAAAACAGGAATGTTGAGTTAAAGGACACCTATCATGCTATATTTAAATTATATATTGTAGGGCCATACCTATATAAGGTATATTTATACGTTTCTGTTTTCAAAATACCAAACAGATCATGCATTTTAGCCATGCCTCATGCCTATGTGCTGTTCTCCAGCACTGTTTTTGCACGGGGCTGATTCTGTGAGCTGCAGCTGACCACACCCCCCTGCAGGAGAGGGGAGCCGTGCTCTGATCAAGTCAAGAGGGGGAGAAAAAAAGATCTCCGTCCTCCGTGTTTTATTATATTATTATAGGCCTATAGAGTCGTTATTCATTTGTTTTAAAGCTCAATAAATAACAAAGAAGACCTTTGACCGGCACTTTTCTAATTTTGTCCGGAAGATTTAAACTTTAACGGACATCTTGACCGGCGAAAGAAACTGAAACTGAAACTCTGCCGCACGGTCCCCTCGTTCCTTGGAAGAGGCGGAGAGGTGGGTGTTTGTCATCTGCTGGTGGACTAACCGGAGAGAATTACAGTGCTTGCCTCGACGGGGAGGGATTGCATTGAATTACAGCAGCGGGAGCAAATGCTTGCCTCGGGGAGGGAGAAAAAAAAGCCACAGCGGAGAATAAACAGAAGGGTAACCATAGCAACCATGCGCGGGAAGTCTTCTTCGCTGCTTTTGTGGCAGACTACAGCGCCACTTACAGGCCTGGCATATGTACTACAGCGTCTCCAGCGCTTTCGAGCGGCAATGGCCGGCCGTGGCCCAACCCCACATTCCCCTGATAGGTGGAGAGTTGGCCCAATAGCCGTAGCGCCACCGTCCTGACAGTGTTCAAATCTGGATCAGTTTTTATCAGATCCGTTGCAGCCCCTTTTTTAGAGATTTGGGTATGGAGGAAAATAGAGAGGGTTGTGTTTTCTGACACTTGGTGAGTTCCCTGGAACACCGGGGACACATATTCATGTATAAAAGATGTACAAAAGTGCATTTTGCATGATAGGTCCCCTTTAAATGTTACTCATCCCCCCCAACCCAACTCATTAAAAAATGAACAAAAATGCACCCCCCCATCCAAAAATCCCCACAAAGTCCCATTCAAAATGTTAAATGAAAAGAGCCCTTCTCCCTCCAAAAAGTCCCATTAAACATGCACATCTTCCTTCAAGCGATCTTCTGCATTTTTGCTAAACCCTTTCAGTCAATGGGCTCTTCCTGGGCCTCATCAACATCCAACTCTGAGTCTTCCTCTTCAGTGTCACTGTTGAGGATGGCTCTGTGTCAGGCTCAAAGAGCCTTAGGTTTGCCCGAATGCCAACCAGTTTTTCCACTCTCACATTTGTGAGCCTGTTGCAAACCTTTGTGTGGTCTCAATAGCCATGCAGTAAGCAGTGTGCTATGGCATGGATATTCAAGTGTACTTGAATGGCATCTGTTTGTTTTAGTCAAGATTATGCTAAAATATACTTTCCCCAACTATATTTAAGTTCCCTATGAAGAGCCAACCTTCAATTTTGAAAATTCCCAGTTTATTCCCATAAATTCCCGTTTATTCCCGTGGAAAGTTTCCATCTTTGAAAATTCCCGGAATTTTGCAACCCTAATCATGCCTCATTTGCATATTTGAACACCAGTGGCGAACCGACATTGTCAATCCAAACGTACGCTCTCATTCAGTGTAAGGGCCAGGGCATTCTATCAAGGATGTAGAATACCTTGGTTGAAGGATATTCTACCCAGAGACCCAGAAAAATATCTGATTGGTTGCATTTTCTTTTTAACACAAAACCACTGAAATGCGTAGTGCATGGACCGAGAAGGACAAACAAATCAACGTAACACTGTAATATTACAGATCAACAACTCATTTATTCATTTTATTTACATTTTATTTATATAATTAATTTGAGCTTTTGTTTGTTTTATCTGAGTGTTCCAGGGTATTCTCTGAATACCTTGAAGGCCCTGATGGTTCACCACTGTTGAACACAGAACTTTAGAAAACGTGCAATTCGAAAAATTAAATGAATTGATTTATTAGTTGATATGTTTAATCTGATGTACCTGTAGTGACTCACTGCACCCTTGTGGAAAAGTCAGATGACACACACACATTATGATGCGGTGACAGGTCTAATGCAGAGCCGGGGGAGGAGCCGGTGTTTATCATGTGGTTATAGTTGTATTTTGCTGCATTCTGCCAGAGGCAACCTGAGCTTGGTACATTCCTTTACAGCAAATCCAGACGTGTTCTTTACCAGACTCTTACTCAATGACATGCCACTACAAACCACATCAACATCACACCTTAGCTTCTATTATTCTCAAAATTAGGTGACTAGACATAAAACGATGTTTTACACAGAAAGAAAGTTGTCCTAACTAAGGCCAGGACCCTCTGGCCAAAATCAACACTGATCTTTCAGTATTAGAAGTTACGGTATTAGTGTCAAATGAAAGACCATGCGAAGAACAATCTTGAATAAAGACAAAAATAGATGAATAATGGAACAGGCTAATGAATAAATTGTGCTGAAGATACCGCGGCCCGGCAGCTGAGTGGGCAGTACCAGAGGGGGATGAGGAAACAGCCTCTGATTGTCCACATCTGCTGTCTCCCACTGAGAGGACAGAGTCAGTGCACACACAGACAACATGAAGGCACATTCTTGCATAATCTCTCACTGAAAACTGATGAGTTGTGTTCTACCAGATGAGAGCGCTGCAGCAGCAGGTCAGAGTTAAACAATGTGAGTCAGTCAGGCTAACACCATATGTTAACAGCTACTACACACGGTTAAATTGTTAAGCAGTAAACAGTAACAGTCAAGTGTTATCAGCTGAGTAGACATTGCCCTGTAGGTCTCCAGCTGATCTCAGAGCAGACAGAGCTGCTGACACACCTGGACATTACCGTGCTCTCCTGACTGTCACATGCACCCATAAACCTGGGTGCTCAACAGCTCTCATTCTCATGTTCTACTCACACACCTTTGAACATTTCTATTGCATAATCATCTCATCACATTGCTTTTATTTCATTACTTGTGAAATCAATTTCTCTTATTTGTTCTCGTCCCCTTACAATCTCTGATGACAATACTGCTGATTGTACCAAACACTGAGTCCTTCACAGTTCTATACTCTCCTCCCACCTACACATGCAGATGGACTCCATGTAGCTTCCTGACAGTCACTGCCTGCTGTCTGGGGTCCACCATCAGCGAGCGTATTAATGCTCTCAGACTGACCAGAGTTGTTGCTGAGAGGTAGAAGGTTGTGCTCACCTCAGTTGTCCTCCCTCTCTGCTCCACAAACATGGCTGGGGTTTCTCACGGGCTTCCCCGAGGAACTCTTCTCTGGTGTTCCTGTTGTTTCCCTCCTCCTCCTCTTCCTCCTCCTCTTCCTCTCTGTCCCGCGCTAACACTGCTCTCTCTGCTGGAGTGGTGCCGGTGAGCGTCACCGTGTGGGCGGGGCCACCATCCTGCTGAGTCCCCCCCCACCCACTGGCAGACTGTCCTCTGAGAGACACAATTATGTCTGTGCATTCCCCTCAGCCAGAGATGCGAAGTAATGAAGTACATTTACTCAAATACTGTACTTAAGTACACTTTTGATGTACTTTTTAAATTGTTGTATTGTATATTACTGTTTACTTCTACTCCTCTACAGTTCAGAGGTACATGGTGTACTTTTACTCCACTACATGTATTTAATACCTTGAGTTACTTTACAGATCTGGATGAATGATGTGAAATCTAATCAAGTGTTAAATCAGACTTTAGTTCCACCTGGAGTAAATTCACAAGCTACCCTGCAGTATACAAAGTCATTCAAACTAGCTGCACCTTTACCAGCTTTGAGAACACTTTCATGATCAATCATTATAAAACATATCATATATATTATTCTGAAATGGACCAATCTGCACAATGACTACTTTTACTCTTGGTACTTTAAGTATATTTTGATGCTAATACTTTTGTACTTTTAATTGAGAACATTTTTGAATGCAGGACCTTTACATGTAACAGAGTATTCCTTCACTCTGGTACTTCTACTTTTACTTAAGTACAAGATCTGAGTACTTCTCCCACCTCAGCCCTCAACACACAGAGAACATGCAGGCTGTGGATTAGAGCAGCGTTTCGTAGGTATATAGTAGAGTAAAGCAGGTTTCAGTACTAAGAACTAACAGCAGAGGTCAACGTTGGCTGCTTAACTGTAGCCAAGTGATGCTGATTATGTCATAGCACACTGACACTGAAGATAGGGAATATGTATTTAAAGGTCTCCTATCATGCAAAATGCACTTTTTGATGTCTTTTATACCTAAATATGTGTTCCCGGTGTGTCAGGGAACTCACAAAGTGTCAGAAAACAAAACCCTCTCTCTTTTCCTCCGTACCCAAATCTCTAAAAACGGGGGTTCAACAGAGCTGATCCAGATTTGCTGACGTAATATCGGAAATGTGGGCTGGCTTTAGAAGCTTTAGGACGTGTTTTGGAAGTAATATGGTCTTTATTTACATAGCAAGCATCGCTAACACTGCTAACCTGTACTGGAGAAAGTATGTATAAAAAAGCAGGATATAAAAAGGAACTCACCTTGTGATAAACCCGCAAGAGAAAAGGCATTTGAGCTCCATAATGTTTCAGAAATAATCCTTGATGTAGTTTTGAACATGATATGGTGTTTAATAATGGCAGCGTTTAGCTGTATCTGGGTAGAATTTTCCCACATGAGCAGGCATAAGCTCCGCCCCCTCTTCTTTATTTAAAAAGAAAAAAGCTTTTTAAATACCCAGAATTGGCACTTTATGGCGCGTTTCCACTACAGCGCGGAGCACGGTTTAAGAGGGCTGTGACGTCAGCGGCCCGTTTTTGGTTGCGTTTCCACTTGGCCTAGTACCGGCCGGCGGGTCCTAATTCACAGTTTTTCTGGCCTCATAAAATCGTGGGTCTAGGGCCAGAGACAACGAGGCTGAGTCGGGCTGAGTATGCTAAACTAGAGAGAGACTCGCTGGCAAGGGGGCTACAACTACAACAAGATGGACATATTTGACCGTGATTTAATTGTAATACACGTTTCAAAATGATGCCGAAGTAACAACATACTGATACCGGTTAGTAAAAACCATGAATTAATGCTTTGACAAGTCTGCAGACAGACGGCAGGCGAAAAACCTTTTAAAATGTGTGTTGTCTAAATGGAGATCGGCTAAGCTAACGCAGTATATGCTCCGACCGTCCACACTCACAACAACGGCCTATACAGACATAAATAAAGCAGCGACTGTATTCGCCATGACACAGGCAGTCTGTGGTTTGTACTTGTTTAACTTTTGTCTAGTTTCTGAACATATATGAGGAGCTGTGAGCTCTGAGTGCTAACAGCTAACGGCTGTGTTGTTTTTCTGGGGTCCTCTGAAGATCACGTCACGGCTCCGCCTACACTGCGTTACTATAGATACTACCCCAGTTCCTAAACTGTAATGGAAATGCGCCATAAAGTGAGCCAGTCCTAACGAGGCCTAGCCATACCGAGCGAGGCCGAGCGAGGCCGTGTAGTGGAAACGCGCCATTAGTAACAGGGCTGAAATAAAGGGTTATGAGGCATGGCTAGAATTGGTGATCTGTTTTGTATTTTGAGCAAAACACTTCATAGACATGTTTTTTATATATTTGTTATATATCTGAGACCTATAATATATGCCTAAAAATAGCATGAGACCTTTAAGTTGTTAAACTGACATAAAATATATTAGATATTTTTTGTAACAATGTATCATGTAATTAAGTACTGTATCTATCTATCAAAAATGGGGGCGGTTGCCACCTCCTCTGTCTCCAATAAATCTGCAACATTTTCTGGTAAGACTTTTTACGTCATCCTACTTTTGATTAGTCTCCATCTCCAGGCTCCGCCCATCCCTTTCTCAATCTAGTACAGAAGTTCTGGTTCACGCATTCGTCACATCCCGTCTGGACTACTGTAATGTTGTCCTCTCTGGCCTTCCCATCAAACTCCCCAATAAACTCCATATCATTCAGAACTCTGCTGCCAGGATCATCACCCGCACCAAGTCCTCAGACAACATCACCCCCATCCTCATCCAACTGCTCTGGCTCCCTGTTCAATCCTGAATTGAATACAAACACCTCCTGCTCACTCACAAAGCCCTCCGCAACCTGGCCCTCACCTATCTGGCTGACCTCCTTCACAGTTAAATCAAAGTGGTTACTTTTTTTTTGGCTAGGCAGTGTAGTTTTACACACCATCTTATTTGACTTCCTCAGGACTTAAAACTGTTTTTTGGGGGCAGACCCCACAAAGAAAAATATATATATGCACACATACAAGTTCATCATCTTAACAGTTTTTTATGATCATCCGTGAGCACAGCATCAAGTTGGCATGCCTATAACAGCTGAATGAGGCGATTACCATCTTGTTCAGCAAAACGCCTCACAAACTGATTGAGATCCAAAGCTTTAGTGCGTTTTGATTCAATGCTGAGTACAGCCAAACTTGACAGTCTCTTCTCTGTCATGTAGACCGCAAATATCTCATTCCTTCCATCTACTTGGGTCCGAATGTTTCTCGTTTACGCCGTCCCGTTCAAATGAAATCGCCGCCAATCATATTAGGCTCGTTTGAGATGAGCGAGACCGACGCAGACCTGCACAATTGCGACTGCCGTCTTGCTAGTGTGTTGCATGATGGTTAGTAATTTTGTCCGACTTGCTCTGGAGGCTCGACTGCATGAGACGTGGCTGGCGGAGTGAGAAGTAACAACGTTGCAGGCTCGTAGAAAAAGTTTAGATTTTAGTCCTTGACTGTAAAACTGACAGGCAATAGCTTATTCATGATACATGATAGTTATTATAGAAGCTTAAATAGTCACATTTTAGTTACCAACACTTTTGACATAAAGTGCCTGCTAGCATGACCGACCACGATTACAACTTAAAAGTTCTCCGTGAGGCGTGTTACGCGTCGGATATCGAGGACATCGACATGGAAGCGGACAACTCTAAGGGACAAAAAATTAATTGGGACCACACACCAACTAAAGGACCGAATCCAAAGAAATCGAAGGTTCATGGCGAAACACAAATGACAGAGGATAGCAGCAGCACTTCAACGCATTGAAGCAAACACTGAAGCAGCTAAAGAAAATAAGAAAGACATTTCTGCTCTTCAGAAAAAGTTTGATGATCTTCTGAAAGATAACACTTTACTACGTAAGTCTGGCGAGGAGCAAGCCCGCTACAAACGGAGGTAGAATCTGAGGATGAATGGTCTGCCTGAAAAAGAAGGAGAAAACACAAGAGAAGCTGTGATCGTGATACTCACAAGAGTTGTTCCGCTGTCTGTGGAAAAGCTGCGTGACTCAGTGGACACTGTCCATCGGCTGGGAATAAAGGGTAATGCAGCTACCTCCAGAGGTGGGACCAAGTCATTGTTTTGCAAGTCCGAGTCAAGTCTCAAGTCTTCGCGCTCAAGTCCGAGTCAAGTCTCAAGTCTTTGCGCTCAAGTCCAAGTCAAGTCTCAAGTCAGGATGGGAAAGTTCAAGTCAAGTCCAAGTCCTAAACTTTGACAAAACGAGTCTTAAACAAGTCCTTATGTGCTTTTCAACAAATGTAATGACATCGATCAACAGAATAATACTTAATAATCAAACTGCTCTTTATTAGTCACATTAATAATTTAATAATCCATTTTCTCTCTGCTGGTAAAGTAACGTGTTTTTCTTCTATTGTAAGAGGGATAAGTAAGGTAAGGCTACCGTGACGGTTTGATTCAGAAGGAGTTTAATGTATAAGATCCCTGATGTTGAGGTGACCAGAATGTTTATTTCCACTGTGTACAACATGTTATAAGGGACCCACAATCTATCTTTATGCAAGGGATAATGTGCAGCGAGGCATCTCTAAGGGGAAAAGAACACCTGAATCTAGATCCCTCTGCAGGTGGTACTTTAAGTATATTTTGATGCTAATACTTTTGTACTTTTACTTGTAACATTTTGAATGCAGGATCTTTTATTGTAACCGAGTATTCCTACACTCTGGTACTGTTACTCAAGTACAAGATCTGAACTTCTCCCACCTCTGGCAATAAATCCTGAGTGGTTACCAAAAAAAAAACCCTGCTCTGAAGGTTATTTTCATTTTACAAATCCTGCACTCAGCTTTGCTTTCTCCAATATCATTGAAATGCAGCCAGAAGCTGCTCCTTTTTTCGGTTTTCGCAAATTTCTTGACTTTTTCCGATGCGCTTGCATTTAAATCCGGCTCCCCGTCTCCCCGTCGCTCTGTGTAGCTGGCCTGTACCACTACACCTGCTGTCTTTGGAGCGTCTGCCCCCCACCCTTCTTTCACATAATG